TATCTGTCAAACATTATTTTAACATTTCTTACTACCTATCTTCAAAGCCTGTAATGCACCCAATTTCATCTCTATGCAAGTCTCAAGAATTGATACTGTTCAGATATCGATAAGGTAAAGGACAGAATGTTACACCCATAGTAAAATGTCATGTTCAACATAAAATATGGATATTAATATATGATAGGTATTGTACATATTGCTATTCCAAGAAATCTTCAAAGGTTACATATCAACACATCTTTAATTTCTCTTTATCAGTCAACTACAATAGATAGGAATTCATTATATATATGAACTAAGCATAACATTCTATTCTAAAGTTTCTGATGAAACAACAAAGTTTTCTCTTCATAACATTCATATGATTAATATGTCATCATTTGTATGTCTAGTTCAATATCACAGTAGTAGTAGTAGTAGACAAAAATTATCAGGTCCGTGACAGATAACAAATGCAACTTATGTTTTTATTTTATTCATGGCAGGTGTTTAGTTTAAAGCAAAAGAAACTTTCCTCAACTGGGGTGTTCAAGGATATGACTGCATTAATTTTGAGCTGGTTAAGAAAGATTGGGAAATTAAACAAATGGGCCAGACAATATTTCCCCAAGGGTTTTGAAGGAGGTTAAAGATTGGATGTTTGAGGCAAGAATGTAAATTTGGTGTATCTGGATTTTCAGAAAGCATATAACAATGTGCCACATAAAAGGCTTGTAAAAACAATAGCTCTATAGGTGTAGAGGATAAGTTAACAAATTGGACAGAAGAGTGGCTGAATGGAAGAAAGCAAAGGAGTTATAAAAGGAGCCAGACTGGATTAATGTCACAAGTGGGGTACCTCAGGGCTTAGTCTTAGAACCTTTGCTCTTTTGATTTACATCAATGACATAGATGAAGGAATGGTCAATAAATTATTTAAATTTGCTGATGATATTAAGGTCTTGGGTGTTGCTAACTGTGAAGATGCTGGCTCAAGAGATTATAGTTTGATTGTACAGGTCACTGGTTAGGCCACATTTGGAATAGTGTGTTCAGTCTTGGGCTCCTTACCTTACGAAGGACATTGAATTGTTGGAAATGGTTCAGAGAAGGGTTACTAGAATAGTGCCTGGGATGGAAGGGTTGTCATATGATGAGATGCTGAAATCTCTCAAATTGTTTTCTCTTGAAAAAAGAAGAGTTAGGGGGATCCAATTGAGGTGTTTAAGATTGCAAAGGGAATTGATAATGTAGATGTATCATCTTTTTTTTATATTTAACAATGAGAATAGTAGGACTAGGGGACACACACATACATTTTAGCAAGGTAGGAGTCATCTTCAGCTAAGACAGTTTTATTTTTCCAACAGGGTGGTTGGCCTTTGAAATAGGTTGACTTCAGATATTGTAGAGGCAGTAAATTCAAGTGAGTTTAAGAAAAAGCTTGACAAGTATATGAATGAAAAGGGTTGGCTTTAAATTTTTGTTTTATTTAATGTTTAAAAAAAAATTTTAAACCATTTTAATTTAGTTTTGATGATGCAACAGCCAAGATAGGCCAATGGGTTTCATATTGTCCCAAAATATTATGTTATGTTTCCCTGCTTGTGAAGATTTTTTTTACATTAAAGTGGGCTTTTTAACTCTCTACACAAGCTTAGTCAATTTGACCGATCATGTGACCTCTTTTAAAGTATTTATAGATTTAATACTTCTAACTTTCAATAGTTTGTATATCTTCACAAAATTTGGCAGTCTTTCTGTTCATATTATAAGCCTTTCACATACAAAAAAATCATTTTTGTTGAAGTATTTTTAATAAAATAAAAATTATTCCATGAATATACTAAGTATATGTTTTGAATAGTTCGTATGCAAAGTAATTTTCATGTTAAAATTAAAAATACATTTCCTTATCTCAAAAACCTTAAATTTCCTTTGTGTAATTTGTAAAACATCCTAAATGCATTTCAAACGTTTTTTCTCAGTAAAACTTTAGTTTATCTGTTATTTTCTCTACCCTATCTCAAAACAGGATTGATCAATTTGACCAACCTCGTAACCACCCCAAAAAATTAAAATGAACCTAAATTACCCTTTTTTCTCTCTACAATGATTTCAAATTGTAACATGAAACTACATTTGTAGCTCAAGTTCATACCAGTATACATCTATTTATAATTAAATGTTAGTTTTACTGCCCTTTGAACTGTGTTTAACTATTATCCGCACCATTATAAATTGCAAATCATTGGGGAATATGTAGCTCACATTATGCTAATGAATTACATTACCCACAAGCTACTCTCGTGGGTGCTTCGTGAAATATTTTTATTATAATATTTTTATTTATTTTACCTAATCTTAACAAACATAAAGGATTCATATCTTTACATTTTAGTTACTTTTATAATTATACACAAAATATAAACATGAAAAACAAAAATAAAATCCTTAACCAAACTTTTTTTGTTGCTCTCAGTTTTCGGAGAGAGTTAACCCAAATGTTTTATACAATACAGTAATGCACTTAATTTTTATTTAATTAAGTAATGCACCAAACAATATAGACTAATAACATGCAAAAAGTAGACAAATTCACCTACCTCTCCAAATTTTCATGGCTTTCTAACTATGCGACAAGAGCCATTACAAATTCATCCAAGCTAGTGCTTAACTTTCCCGTGTGTTGGTACTCTGAGTGAAATTGACATTAACTGTTCAGAACATAACATTATACAGTCACTTGATAGATGAAAACCTTGACTTGCTATTGGTTTTAGGTAATACTAAACCATCTGTGACCCATTGGGTCACCCAATATTCAGAAGTTATGAAGAATTCAAGCTAATTTCAATATTGTACCAAAATGAAGGTTTATTTTGAGATAATTTAATTAAATATTTCAATCCAATCGTGTTATTCATACTTCAAGAAAAAATATTTGATTGTTGATCAGGAGTAAAAGGAAAGATCATTTCATTTTTCAAAAAAGTGAAGTCAGAGTTTTCAGGTATCGTCATGAATTAGTTCATTATGTTGTGGTCTTTCCTCTGAAACCTTCTACAAATAAGAAACAGTAACTTTATTTTTTCTTTGAACTACCTTCTGATTACCATGGCAAGATTTTAATGAAACTAGTTTTATTCTGTTTCTATTCTCATTTCATTACAAATATGGCACTATTGTGCACTGTTTTTGCTTATTTAATTTCAGACAAGCAAACAAACAGTTGGGTGTGGCAGAATGGGTCTGATTTTCTATTTGATAGCTCTGTAACCAAATAAAATTGAAGGCTATAAAAATTATGGTTTGTCTATACGATAACAATTTTATAGAGGGTAATTTAAGTTTAATTTCCTACTTGTTGAGGGGTGGTGTATAAAATAGGGATGATGACATGCTAAGAGAAAATGTTTCACATGGGTCACACTAGTGGAAATTCAAGATTTTTTTTAAACATCGCCTTGTAGAATTAAGAACTTAAAACTTGTGTACTGTTAAGATATGAATTATTAACTAAGATTTTATGCTATTCTAATTGGTACAATAAAAACAAAAAGGAGCTTGATAAAATTTTGAATGTAAGACACTAAAACCTTGTGTCATGCGCAGTAAAGGATACCCATGGCAATAGGGTTAATAACTGTATTAGGATATTTGTACTGATTTAAATTTGTCTTCGAGAGCTGGTGAAGGCAAAGATAGTGCAGTGAAGGTCGAAGCTGGCATCCCAGATTTTGTTAACTATCAACAAACATTGAAGGACATGTTGTATGTGTGAGTTGGAGTAATTCCTTTCGTCAACAATGATTTTAAATGTTTTGCATGCTATAGATGTATCCATTTAATAGTATAATCAACATGCTTAACTTAAATACAATGCTGTTGACAACACATTAAACATACAATTATTCAAATAATACATTTTGTATCATGCATAGCGTATTTTCAATTTCAATCTTCTTCATAGTTTTTTCTCACTTCTAACAGTAACTTAGGTTTCAACATTGTTCTACAACTCATGTACAAGTGTGCATGAATAGTCTCAGGTTACATTTTGAAGCCAATAATTTCGTACAGGTGAATGTATGACATACCTTCAACAGTCAGTATATTCTATGCTTACCCGTTTCTTTCTTACCGCAATTTAGCCCACTTTATAGTTATATGGTAGGTATCTTGTAATATATTTAATTCTGTTTTATTTTCTGGCCATAACTTGAATGTGAAATTCCCATTTTATAGATCCTTGTATTAATTTAATGTCTTATATTTTCAACCCAAAAGGACAACTTGAATGTCAGTATCTTGCTTAAAAATGATTGATTCGCAAAATATCTAATCTTTTAAATTTTAATTTTAGTTCGAGAGTTGTTAGGCCTAATAATAAAACCAGTACTAATATTAATAATACAAGCTATATATATATATAACATTCATTTTGTGGCACCCAGTGAATTAAGTTCTAATTAAAATTAACACTAAGAGCATCTAATTATTACGACTTCAAAAATGGTTTGATAATAGTTAATACTTTTGTTAAGCATATAACGTTTGTTAAATTTAATATTATATAGTTAAAAATGAAAGCCCTTTTGTTTACCAGACAATTTGAGAATTAAATCCATTAACATCTTGTTTTTTTTTCATTTTCAAACAAAGAAATAAAAAATAGTTACTGTACAAAAACATCTATTCAAGGTATATCTACACTAATTTCATTTTAAAGGAAAAAAATAAACATACAACGGATGAAAAATGCACACGGTTAAACAATTGCCTCACTTCACCGCCATTACTATTAATGCCCTTTCTTCCTTACGACGCCACACAACACGCAGTACAGCAAAGTCCTAATGGAGTAGCCTAGTACTCGCTACGCTACAACTTGTTTTTTGTTAAATTAACAGCAGTATTATCTCAGTTCTTTTCATCGAGCATAATATTGACTTAATGACACACCAATTAATGAAAAAACGAACAATGTATACATAAATATATTTAAAAACACTTACATCTGAAGAAACCATGACACCAGTTACAATAAAACGTTGTTAATAAACCGGGAAACAGTTGAACAAGAGCAAGAAGGAATAAAAATGGTGGATGTCACGTGAGTCATGACGCATCGACTTAAAGTATAATAAATTTCAATACTTTTTGTTTTTGTATAAATATATATAGTTGTATATAAAATAAATTAAAAACTACAAATATAACAGTCAGTGGTCTTTTAAGTATATAACATTTTCCCACTTATTTTATTCGTGAAAAAAAAGAGAGTCTAATTTTGGTGAAAGTGCGCCTGCGTGCATGTATGTTGGAACCTCATTGTTAATTACAGCATTTAGTGTAAAGGGGTTATAAGCAGTGTTCCTAATCCCATTGGCTTCACCTACTTTCTACGGGTTATCGTTTAGGTAGGCCCTGCTACTATGTTTGACATTTATGATATTATCTACTAATGTCACTACTACTACTACGAATGCAATTGGTTAAAACGGATGGTTGTGATAGTATTAGTAATGATTCATTAAGAACATTACTTAAAATTGAAGGCTGAGTATAATGTTTTAGTTTTACTAAACACTGAATTTAGATTAGTATTACTTATTTTTTTAATAATTTTTAAATTTTTGTAGCTTAGTCCAGCCAGGTGCTTTACTCGTATTCGTAGCTCATTGGTAGTTGTCAATTAGGCCTATCTTAATATCAGTATTCATGACATTGCGAAACACAAAAATTAAAAAAAAATCAATGAAAGACGAAAATAAGAAACCATATAACCCGAGCGCTTTCGAAATGTAGACCCTTCTTTATTAAGGACAAACTGAGACGCTTCTGAGGCTGAAGAAGAAAGGCATTCTTTTGGAAAGTGCTCAGGATATTATATCTTACTTGTGTCTAACTTCACATTTAATTTTAAAGTTAGACTCTAACTTCTATTTCTAAGTCTAACTATTACTACTAGTACCAATAGTGTAGTATTTGTATCAACATTACATTTTCTATACTACGGCACTCCAACTTAGCTTTAAAAGTTTAAAATTAAAAATAAGATGATACCAAAAGCGTAAGCTTGGGGGGGGGGACTTAAAACTAAAACTAGTAAAAGACCCTGTCGGAGATAAGAGTTCTGCTTTTTAGACCAAAAAAATAATTACTAGGTATAACCTTTGTGAATCATTAATTTTCTTAAGTCAAAAAACTTGTGTTGGCTCATACTTCAACAATGTTTTTTTATATGCATTCCACATAGTTGCACCTATGTATACAGTTTATTTGATATATGGTTTGCATTACAAATACAAACGTTTGTGTGAAACATAACTTGCAGATGTAAAGTATATTTTATAAGAAACAAAATACCCTTTATGATTTCACTATTTTTATGTTATTGTATTTACAATAACAAAGAAAATGTATATGAATATAATTTAATCTGTAACATTAACAATAATAATATTTTTGTGAATGTTTTTTTTTATGTATTAGTGCATTCACAACTAAATACCAATGATATATAAAATGTTCATTATAGTATACCAATTTTTTAACTCCACCCCCCCCCCCCCACCTTTACAGCTAAACTAGGCTATGCCCCTAAGCTACTTGTTCATAGCTCAATCTTCATTGATTAAAAGAAGATTCATACATTTTGTCAAAGCATTAGTGTCATTATCAGTCATGATGAAAGAATTACTACAGAGGATCGTCATCGTATTTCTGCTGCAGACTTTATAATAAAGAGATTTGGAGATAATTTTTTTTTACAGGACAACATTGCTCACCTAGTGATGTATAATCACCCTAACTTACAGGAATACTTCAGCATTTTTAAAATATTAAAAACAAAAATTATTTACAAGTAAAATAGTTTACAGTTTTAGGCATTACCAGAAGGGTGAGGCTTAACAAGTTTCTACTTACAATATTGTCCATTTTGTGCAAATAGTTTAATATTATTTCTATTATAACCAAAGTGTTACTTTTTTATGTGTATAAAAAGGAACTTTTGAAGAGATTTTAGGTACATGTGTCAACAATTGAAATTAGTTTAATTAATTATTATAAATATACAATGCAAATAACTATTTTGTAATAGGTTTTAGCATCAAAACGTTTGGAAGGACGAAATGACAGGTCATTTGGGCCAGAAGAGTCACCCATTATCTACCAAACCATCAGAAACAAATTATAGCTATTTACATTAATTGCATTCATAATCTAATCCAACAGAAGTAATAAATGATTTAAAAATAATGGCATACTATTAAGGCAAGCCATTCCACAGTGTGTTTATTTTGACAAGTAAACTCTCCAAACAAGTCTACATTAAATGTGAACCTTCCAAAACTTATAATTACTACCCTCAATACTTCAGTTTTGTGTCTCCAGTATTTTCATATCATTACTAACAGACCACCATTAGGAAGATTGTCAATCTTTAGTAATTTTTAGTATTTGTCATATTTGTGTTCTTTATACTTCCAAGACAATCTTTTCAACATTTGTAAAGTTGCTAATTTAGTTTTATGTAGCACATAATCGAAGGTGTTCTGAGAATCAAAAGATGCGACAAGAATTGGAATGCTAAGAAAAAAAAGCCAAAGACTTGGATACGTCTGTGGTATATGAATATAACATTGATTTTTATCTTATAGTAGTATTTATTCTTTGTTCTCAGTATGTGCAGATTTTCACAAAATGTGGTAAAGAAAGTTGTTAAATTTATCTTGTTCCAAGTTACCTTTGCTCCTTGTGATTCGTAAGGTTAGTTGTATCCTGTTACTACCCATGGAGAACATTACTAATTTAAGTAATTAAGCCTAACACAATGTTACATTAATAAATATCCTTCACTTGTTTGTGTAATACAGAGAGATTAATGTCTCAAGTATTTATCTTGAGAAAACTTGTCATATGGTAGCCACCATCATGCTCAAGTTGGAACAAAAATTGCAGCCTGGCTAACTAATGAATATTTGCTGTAAAACTTATCAGTGCTATAAGTGTAGCAACCAGTTTGGCTGCAAATTTTGATTTCATTCATTTAAGTTGCATGCTGAATCCTTTTTGCTTGCATTTGTTTTTTAACACCTAGGTTGTTTTTGATTAGATATATATATACCACAAATCCATCAGGAATAAAATCACTTTTCTAAATCTATGTTGGATATTGTTTAATTGCCAAAATTCCAATATGTTAAACAATTTTTAATCATTTGGAATTTCTCCAACATTTATTTTGTAAATTGTGTGACATTTTGGTGTATGTGAATTTTTTTATTTTTTTTTTAAAAAAACAGAATGGGTAAAAAGAAGAAGCAAAAGGAAGGTGGGTCTCAAGTTGAAGAAGAGTATATCGTTGAAAAAGTTGTCGATAAAAGAGTAAAACAAGGTCAAGTTGAATATTATCTGAAATGGAAAGGATACCCAGAGTAAGTGTTTATATTACCTTTAAAAAAAGAAATGAACAGCTTATTTATAACAAACTAATTCTGTACAAGATTTTTTATTTTCCTAAATGTATATTGCTATTTGAGGAAGTCGGACTGTAGCTAGAACATTTTACTCTGAGATTAACCTTTTCACTATGGCTGGGACATGTACTTGCTTGTGCTCCCACCCATCACACTGGAACTCGGACAAATTTTTCCCATTGTCATTCAGAATCTCTGCACGTAATGAATTTGAGTAAAATGAATTGGTAAGTATTTATTGGCATCCCACCTAATGTTGATATATGGTTTCCCTTAATGTTTTCCACTCAGCCCTTCAGTAACCAACAAGATGCCTAAGCGGAATGTACAACAACTGCGTACTGACTGTGCTTACATCGCCAGAGCGGCAAGTAGTAACCTTAATTACTATGTAAATATTCTTGATGCACTTGACTTGGATAGCTTAGAAGATAGTGAAAGTGAGTCAAGTGGTATTCAAATGCATGATGATGAAGAGGCAATGAGATAAGAGGATGTTAGCTCTCCATCTAGTGATGATAGTCAACTTGATGAACCTGAACCCAACTGAGGAAGGCATAAACAGTGTTAACAATGGGAAACATTTATCTCAGTCACAGTGAGAAGGGGTGGGAGTACTGGGAAATATATGTCCCAGCCTCAGTGAATAGAATAAGACTAGTTGTTCAGAAATGCTAAAGTTATAATAACTGAGCTCATACTTATAGAGAATCAAAATAATTCTTTTATATCTGGAAAGAAAGAAAAAATCTGTAAGCTACTAGTTAACTATGAAAATGGTCTTTGGAATTTTTATATATAAAAGTTCTTTAAATCCTGCTTTGAATTGCAATTTGTATTTTATTATCTATTGAGAAAGAAAGGTAAAAATGTCATTAGCCTTAATTTTATTGGGAATCAAATGTACATTTACATATTAAAAGTTTGTTTTATGGAAACCTAAGAGGCTACAGCAGTAATCGAAATTACGAGTGGTAGGCCGACAAAAAATCAGTGAGTTCTAGTCTTTAGGTAGTTATCATCAAACGGCAGTTCAATTTTTTTCTTTGTCAATTTGTAATCCAGACATAATTATGAACATTTAGACAAATTAAAGACAATAATCGAAATTCCTAAAATGAAACTAGTTGGAGACCTGACGTTTTAGGGAAAAGTCAAACTACAATGATTGCTACATTTTTAACAGTGAAATTTGAATGGATGTTGTTTTTTTTTTCACTTCAAATTAGGAAATGTTATTATTGTAAACATAATCCAAATAAAGTAGTATATTACAGATATGAGATTGAAACTGCAATTCTTCATGGAAATTCACTAGTTATGTTTGTTTAGAGAACTTCCTTCGTTAATAGTTTTGTTTTTCTTGTGCGATTTGGAACTTGTGCACCAACTTTTAAAGTACAGGAATTAGTTTAATATTTCCCGATCTTGGTGTGTGTGAAAAGACTGATCCAATACTTGCTTATAAAATGACATTACAGATGATAATAAGCAACATTGAATTTTTCTCGGTGTTTGTGGTGTAATGACATTAGTTTGTTGTAGGGCTGTAACGCAGAGAAGAGTTTGACTTTTGAAAGTTTACAACACAATGAAGGTTCAAACCTTCAATAGTACTGACTTGTATAATTTATTGATGATGTCACCATAACTACTACTTTATATTTGATTGAAAACCCTTTTATTTTACATGTAATCCATATAAATGATATGAAACACACATGTATGCTTTAGTTATCGTGTTTTTTTTGTTTTTTTTACGTGTACTTGAAGCAATGTGAAATATCAAAGTAAATGATAAGTTTTTTTATACAGAGATTCAATTTTTGGTTTTGATAAAGGAAGAAATGTGGGATTTATTATAATAGTTGTCATGTGGACTTTTTGTCTGATGTAATTTCAAGCTAGTTCCAATTAAAGTTACGTCTTGTGGATGGGCTCACTATTAAACTTGCTCATGAGATTAACAGGTGTAAATACTGCTGATCAATAAACGTCTGGTATTCTTTTCTGAACATTTTCAAAAGAAAAGGTGTAAAGCTTTTAGATCTGACCCTTTTTTTTTTCCAGGGTCAGTGGAGTTATTGCAAAAACATTTTTTTTTCCCAAAGACTTTATGAAGGCTATATATATATATATATA